GTACACGTGCTTGGTTTTATTGCAATATTTATCGGCTTTAACTTGCACACGATGAAAAAGGTGACGAAGCAGAAATATGATAAGATACTTACATATCAGAAAGGACACATCATTTGCATAGAACATACTGTATATCGTCGTAGATAACAAATTCTTAGTAGAAACACTGAAATAATTACAATGTGAAAATGTGAGCTTTGCAAACAACGTTTGGAAACAAACGCTGCGTCTGAGAAACAAACAAGAAGTTACAAGTGGAAAGAAGTCAGAGAGTATATCGTTATACTGTGAATCTGCAAGTGAAAATTAAGGAATGGCAATTAATAATTATAAACCTGATAGAGAAAATAATGTTTTTTTGAATAAAACGTCAAGAAGGGAGCTTACTACAATTATCTTATGCAGGGACGTCAAAAGAATGAAGTATTAAATTGAGATACAAAATTAAATGAGAATACTTATCGCTACGTTGGCAGCGCGTTTGAAATGTCAAAAGTAAACTTCGGCGTACTTCGGTTGCATATCGTATACCCGACCCACGGCAATAAAACGAGCTGAAAAGAAGAAAAAAAAAAGAAAATAAACAACAGGTTGTCTGATTTACACATAAGCTTCGAGTTCATGGCGACTTGGCTGTCAAGGTGACGCCGCGTTGTTGGCTGAGAGGTCTGACTACCCCGAGGACGCCTGCGCTATGACAGGCGAAACGGCCTAACAAAACAGAAGTCACGAGGTTGTCTGGGCTTGCTCGGTCCAGCAGCGCTGGCGAACGGCAAACATCCATCTTGTTGTTTCCCGATCTCGGCGATGCCCACGGCGGTCGTCCCTAAAGGTCGGTCGAGGCAGGTCGACTCCGAGGAGCCAGGAGGTGAGAGTTTCATCAGGATTATAAAGACTATTAGTGCTGTTTCAAATATCGTCAAGATTGGTGTAGGTGGAGAGATGTAACTTTGTACCCGAAAATCGATTTGTATACACACTGAAATGACAAAGTTCATGGGATCACAATCGCGAACAATTGAAGCTCTGTGAAAAGGCACACTGTCATAAAAAAAATATGTTTGGGAACATGAATGGCTGCAAACGGCACCCAAGCAACTGAACATAATCATTTCCTATCAATGATGGGTTCGGTTGAACCAGAGGACACAGTCCCTTCGATGTAGAGGCCACATCAGCTTCCATAGTGCCTTGTTGACGGCTTGCGTCCAAGGCTGTGCGCCTCACTAGAACCCTACCATCATTTTTTCCTGACTGAAATCTACACTCGATTCACCAAGTCACGGTTTTCCAGTGTTCTAGGATCCAATCAAAATGGCCACAAGCCCAGGAGAGGCTCTTCGGGCGATGTCGTGCTTAGCAAAGACTCTCGAGTCGGTCTTCTGCTGCCATAGTCCATCAAAGCCGCACTGTCCTAACGGATACGTTCGTTGTCCGTCTCACATTGATTTCTGCTGTTATTTCACTCAGTACTGCTTGTCCGTTAGCACTCACAACTCTACGCACACGCCGCTGCTCTTGGTCATTAAGTGAAGGCCTTCGGTCACTGCCATGTCCGTAGTGAACGATGTCTGAAATTAGGTCTTCTCTGCACTATGGATCTCGGAATACTGGATTCCAGACGATTTCCGAAATGGAATGTCCATGCGCCTAGCTCCAACTAGTACGCGGCCAAAGTCTTCATTCCAGTCGTACGGCCATGATAACTTCAGAAACCTTTCGACGTGGATCATTTGAGAACAAATAAAAGCTCTGCAAATACACTCCCCGTTTATACTTTTTGTACGCGATACTACGACCATCTGCATAAAACTTGTATATTGCTATCCCATGACTTTTCTCTCCTCAATGTATGGATGGATGCATGTCCTGATGGATGGATAACCCATAACTGTCACATTAAAAGCTAGTGAGCTGAAACCTGGTGAATAAGTCAAGAGAAAGATCTAGTAGTGCCGTTCCAGAGATCACCAAGATGTTTTAAGTTTTGGGAATACTTAAATGAAGCCCCTATAACAATTTGACCAATGACTATTTTCAATATTTTCTGGAAAATGGCTGAACATTTTTCCTTGAACTTTTTTGCACATGTTGAAGAAAATATTTTTATATGTACGGTAATATTTCCGATTTTCATTAAAACCTTTGACATTTAGAAAATAGCTAAAATCTTTATAAATAAATAACTAAGGTTACATTTAGAAAGACATTTGAGCATTCAATTCAACCAAATTTAGTTTTTCTTAAAATGGAAGGTAGTGACCTCCAGATGTTTTATTGCTTGCTATTATTAACATGTTTCATAGTGTAAACTCTAAATTTGAAAATATAAAATAAATTGAATGAATGCTTCTCTGCCGTGATTTCATTTTTTCATTGCGAGTTGAAATTGGTCTATTAAAAAGGATTCGGTATTTCCTCTTCGAGGAAACATGCTAGGATAAGGTGGTTGTTAGAAAAGTAGCATAATATTTTGGGGAAACTCGTCATATAGTAATTAGACCTTTAGATTGCAAAAGAAAATTATTTGAATAATGAACAAATGCCATCCGCGTGATCCCTGCAAGCTTGTTCATTGAGCGTGGAATTTTACTCTTTCCTTGCCTATATATTTACGAATCTGTAATATTTGACAAAAGTTAGTTACTTAACAGTGGGAACATATTTTCCTGCAATATTGGTATTTATAATCACAACACGTAAAAATCACATCTTCAACTGTCAGTACCAACATCTCACTATCAGAAATCCACATAATGTACTTCAGCTTCCGGGTCAATGACCCCTATCTCGATAAGATTTTTGTCCAGTTTCCCTGATTCTTGGAGTAAATGCTGAGATGGCCCCTTGTTTTGATTCTGGACGTAAATGTAGCTTCACTATGCGCACGTTTTGTTTAACTCTCTGTTTGCTGGTAACGGTAGAAGTAGATGTAAGGGCGACCCACTTACTATTTTGTTAGCAATGCAGAAAAATCATACTTGCCATTCATTTACCGATGCAAATTAGATTTCTAAACCTCGGGAACGAAAATGTTTATTTTTTTCAGATATTGCTAATTTCGTGCTTCTTTAAAATGTTATTTGATTTACTTATAAACTTTTACTCGTCTTTCAACTATTTATAGTTAAAATGATGGGAAGGGATTCTGGTACTCAAGAAAACTTGCGCGGATGATCTCCCCCACGTCACATACAGTTTTTTACTTTTTTTTACTAAATAAATCTAATCTAATCTAATGTAAACCCAATATCAAGCAGTCGTGTGACACATGTATCCTTTCACAGAAAATATACCGATTACAATTTAGTCGTGAAATACGTTTTTTGAGGTAAGGTGATAAGAATTTCTTTGTCCTATTTCTCTTCAACAGACCTGGACATCTTGGTAAATGAAAAAAATCCTTTATATTTTGAGAATGAACTCTGGGTTCACAATGAATAGCGATTGTATTGTCGCGAAATTTGTATACTCCCTTACTTCAGTACTCTTCGAGACTTAATACCGAACGACATGAAAGTGTTTTGGGGGTAGAATTTCTACCTTTCCTACAGCCATATCCCACACATCTTTTTTTAGGCTTGTACCTTTGCTGCTCGAAATGCGACGATATGTTCCAACTTTCCAATCCATTTTCAACAATATTGATATTTATGGCTTGGATGTTTTCGGTAATAAATTCATTCAATGGCAGATCTTTAAATGATGCCATGCACGTTTTAAAAGTCTGAATGATGATTGAGTAATAACACTATGACGAGGAAAAGTTTCGGTATGCTGCGCATTTCCAATAGTATTATATAGTATTGGTCCGTTGTAATAATTTTCATATTTTTATTTTGTTATCATCAGACTGGTTGCAAAGTTGTGATAATATAACGTGGCATCCCCACGGACACTGGAGGACACCCCCCTCCTCCCAGTGACCGAGAGTTTTCGTTTACCTTCCTTTATTCGGCAAAATTAATTTAAATATTTCTTCGAATACTGTAATTTAATCAATATTGTGTAGTATATCTACAGTACAAAATATATAATATACAAAATGAGTTCATAATTTAACAAAAATCGTCGATGTCGCCCCCCACCCCCACCGGCTGAATCCGCCCTGTGTATAGTGAATTGCACTGGGGTAGAGAAGGTTGGGCAGCGCTGGGTTAGAAAACACGCCTTCCACCTCCTGGACCGATTCGTGAGGAATTTGTGGTGGACAAAGAGGGTTTGCGGCCAGTTTTCTCTGGGATCGTTTCCTCTGCCTCTCATTCCCTCATTTCGAAACGCCACGCTCTCAATCTCACAACCCCGTACACCTTTAAGTGCTTAATAGAGAAAGCACACATCTGGATAGCAGCGGAATTACACGTTACAAACAAAACTATACAATATGAGCCACACGATAATATATCTCGGAAATTATCAAAATAAATTACAATATTGGAAAAACCCACTGGCTACCCGGTAGATTAGAAAAAAATATCAGTACACCCACATGACAGAAGGAAGTAAACTGGTATCTGAGAAATCGTAAATATGACTCATCCTTGCCACAGTCATGAGCAAAGATTACACACAAACTTCGTACTTGCCTACAGGTTTACATTAATTACAACAGTCTTGGCCAGCAAATTGCGGTAACGGTTATAGACTTTCCGAGTTGAAAGTACGCACTAAATGTTATTTTGGTACAAGATAAACTAAGGGCCAAATTCATATTGAACACTTACAATGAGTATTTAAGTTATCAAATCTTATTCTCCAATAGCGAACTGATCTATTTTACAAAAATATAAAGTATTATTTGGAAAAAATAGATTTTTCTCCTCACAAAAATATCCAAAAGTCAGTCATTCTTTAAACTTGGCGGATTGTTCGCCCGGTTTCAAACTTGTGAAAGTAGGAATGTGGTATGTCTAAAGAACCCTGAAACCTGGGTGTGAAAATAATAATAATAATAATAATAATAATACTGACTTCAACCAACAGCAATGAAGGTGACTTACCGTTGGCGGTTGGAAGTGGCCCGTTGGCTTGGCGCATTCGGTGACGCACTCCCGCTCCAGAGCACTGGGTCTGTGGGCGGGGCTCTGTTGGCTGCCGCCAGCCCCGGCAACCAGATCTGAGGTGCAAGGTGGTACGAGTATTACAGCTTTAAGGAGATGCACACCGTGCCTCTTGAGACGGCCGCATGTTTTCGCGAGCCATCATATTTTCTCAAAATACACCTGCATCATATTGTAATGGCGCGAATCTATGTCTTATTTCACGTACCTAAACACAAGCATTTCGATTTAAAATGTTCACCATTTGGAGTAAAAGGAGACTAAAAATTGAGTAAAAAGATAACAAGTGGTACTACTGAATGGCACGTACTTTCTCGTACGTGTTACTTCCTAATCTCTTTAGCCTGGACTAGCTTTTCGATTTCGTTCCATACTCTTCCCAGCTCCCAGCTGCTACTGGTCCAAATTAGCCTATGCGCGAAAAAAACGTAAACTCAATTTTTCTTTACATGTCATGAAAACAACCGGCAGAACAAATTGTCTTGAACTGAAGATCAACACGCGAAGAGGAACTACTTCCCTCACAAATATTTTAGTTCTAAATATTAATAATTTATTCTAAAAAATACAACATGCCAGTTCAAGCAAATGCTGCTCGAGATGGGATAATTCGCGAAATCATTTGTGGGTCAATGAATTGATCCCTAAGAGAAGAAACGCGTCGCTGTCCATCAAAACATGCAAAACTTAAGCATTTCTTAAAATATTGCTTAAATGATAGTATATCGTTCTATTGTTACTAAGATATGAACTATTTTTTGTAGCACTTCGTGTTTTCTCGTGTTGCTGAAACATACTAAAAATAACCCAGTTTACTTTTAATTATTAAGGTATGTAATACTGCAAAAAAATCAATGTCGAGATTCTGATATAAATACGCGTTTCGATGGTCCCCGGCACCGAAACGGTGTTTTACCTACCAACTCTGTCTGACCATGCATGAACTTTAGACTACGTAATTTTATGTACGTATAATGTATGTACTATATAATTTTAAAAGCCACAACTTCACTCACTTCTCACAAGGGTGCCCAGGCACCACATACATGCACGCCTATGGGCTTAGTCCTACCTCCAGCAGTCAAAAATATTGACGCTACCTTAATGGTTTTAATGGCAGAATTCGACAGCAAATTGCTTGCACTACGAAAGAAACAGTAATGATGTAAGCGAAGGGATACAATAACGGGAATGTAATGAATTCTCGAAACCATATTCCTGATATTACGAATTCTCCCAAACGTACAAGATTCTCTAAACGACAACATGAGCATTTCTCTCCCCTTGTGATGTTTGTGATCCTACAATCGGCACTTTTGCTCCCAGGGTAGTTTGATTACCGAAACATTTATATATGGTTCTCGAATGTCCTCGAGCTATTGAGCATGGAACGATAAAAAATAACCTTCAATGTCTATAGCATTTACATCGCAGACGTGCATAAGGTTGTTGGTTCCCGGGACAGACCAGTTCAATTAGCCTTCATGCAATGCTCACTCAAGTTTAAAAGGAATTCGTCGCATACGATACCTCTGGCTATATGATTAAGCAACGGCACAATTCGTTTTGTAACTCGTAAGACCAAACAACGAACACTGACTTCGCGTCCGTGTCCTAGTGGGAATATCCGTCGCTGGCCAAGGAAGCGAATGCCAGGGTATTACGGAACTCGAAGAGACCCTGGACAGATCGTTCTTCTCCAACTTCACGTACAGTTATAGAACTGTTTTTGTCGTAAAATTAATGCAGATATTTTAAAAATTGCTAGACAAAAAAATGCTTTCTGATTCAAAATAAAATACGCCCGCGTGTGTGGTCTGACTGCCTTCCGACAAATGAAGCAAAGGTAGACCAATACTAAATAGCTTACCCGAGGACGTGACAAAATCATTGTTCTCATCTTGAGAGTACCGTTCACTGAAATTTCGAGTGGGCCACTTGCCCTTGTTTGACATGATGACGTTTGGTTACTTAGCAACACAAGCGTTAAATAATACACAAAAAAATGATACCCATCCTTTTTCTAGTCAAAATATTGGTATGCTAACAACATAATACATTTTATGACATTGAACACAACATATATTTACAAATCGAAACAGCAAACACATCAACGAAACTAACTTGTGTGATGAAAATCTCGCCATTCAGGCAAGAAATTGCGAATTTATTTATACATCACTTAAACAGTTCTACTAACATGATTAATATGAACGCCTAAATACATCCAACGGAACTTAAATGGTGAAGTTAATACTTTTTTGCATTTTTCCTTTCATTATCTGCCTTCAATAATTAATCAACATACTTTACATCTGACCTTTCCTTTCAGTAACAAAAAAATGTATTTTAGTTTGCACCTACTTCGTTATAAAGTAATTTCAAGATTACTTTTCTGAGTGCATTTAATGCTTATCATAATTAATCATTTTTATTGAGATGAAAATTTATTGAACAAAGAATAATATGGAGGGTATATGATTTTTCTCAGGAACAAACTAGTGGTGCTTTAGAATGGTACAGACTTTCTCGTACTAGTTTCCTACTTCCTAGTCTTTCTTAACTATTCGAACTTGCCACTTGTTCTTGCCTGCTGCCATTTATCGCCGCTCAAAGTAATAATTTTTCCGTTTCCTAATTGTAGGGCGGAAATATTCTTTTCAGATCAATAAAGAACAGTAAAACCTCGTCCTAAATGGCAATTTTCTCTGAAAAAATTGGAGGCATTTTTGAAAAACTGGCGTTTAAGCGCTACTGTAAATTCGAAGTTTGAAGCTTTTTTACAGAAAATTTTTGAGTTTTCGAAAAACTGCATTTTAAGTTCTTTAGCGCACAAATACAGTGATTACAAATTGCTGGAAATGTGCATATCAACGGCGTGAGAGATCTAAAAAAAAGAGGGGAAATTGCGTAATTTTTGAAAGAAAAAAAAAAATACACCGAAATTAACATTACGTCATATTAAAGGGTACAAATACCACTATCGGTTTGAAATGTTTGAAGAAAAAGATTTGGAGCAGTTTTTGAGAAAATGGCGTTTGAGGGTTTTTTGAAAATGCGGAGTTTTGAGCTTGTTTTCACAGAAAACTGCATCGTTTTCGAGAAATTTTACGTAATATTATTTAAAGCACATGTACTCATAAATACAGCAAATTGTCGCTAATATAAATATTAACAACACGAGAGGCAAGTTGTTTTTGTAATACTCTCTAAGAAACTCTAAATCCAAGAAAAAAAATTGGGACGGACGGACGGACAGGGAACACCAAAACGTAGTTCCGTTGAAATTTCGAAATCTATTTTTCGCAGCATTACATAACTTTCTCAGTACTATGTACATTACTTCATATATGTGTACGTATACAGAAAAGTAAAAATAAACAGAACATAAATTCATGGAAAAATATAATTACTTTTATTTTCTTGTCTAAAATATACCTAATGTAGTACAGAGAAGTATTATAATGTTCCAGCAGATTTTTCAACAGAAGTACTTGAACTGTGAGTTCCTGATATTAATCTTGGTTGTATATGTAGTAAATTACTTCTAACACTAGGTTTAGTCGTATTCCACATTTTGTTGGTGTTCGACACCAAAAAAATTGGTTTAAGGCCAACCGTCTATATATGGTCAACGCTAGCACCTACACTGTTCTGATAATTTTTTCCACAACTGAAATTCTCGCATTGATGTGGGAGAATATGAAGCTCTAGGACTTAAAAATATGTCTTCATTTCTGGTGCTATTTTACATGAACATTTATGAAATTTTCTCAAAAGGTTCCAATTTTTTCCTTGGAGAGAGTGAAGAAACACTTCAAAAAATGGCATAATCTCATTTTCATTAAAATCTCTTAATTTTGAAAAATTGCTCTGTTCATCAAAAACAGATCTTTAAAAAATAGCATACACAAGTTTTTGAATCTGTGAGTATTTTTCCCATAATATTTGTTCTAAGCAAACTCAATTCACAAAAAAATATTTTCTCAAAATTGACTCGAAATTTTTTTCTTTTGAACTGAGCAAAAAATTCTTAATTGTGTAAATTCCATTTTTGTTCAATCCTCTGAATTTTGAAAAATCACAAGACACACAAATAAGGTGAGAAAGTATGTTTTGTTGTAGCACATCTACTTTTTACTTGTATTATACATGCAGCAAATTTCTAATCATATCGGTATTCAATTGAAATATTTTTCAAAAATATACCAAAACTACATTAACACAATATTTAAATATACAACAAAAACTACACATAGAAAACACCAATTATAGTATATAAATGAATTACCTCAGATAAATGATGAACCTTTATTGTGAGAGTTGTCATTTCTTTTTCTTCTTTAATAATATTTGAAATACACAAGTTTGTAAATAACCATCTAAATGCTGGGATGATTTAATTACCATCTTTCTTCCAAACACTTTCAGGATAACTGGCCGATGAACAAATTCAATAAATTACAGGAATAGAAAAAATGCAGCGAACCAGCACTGATCACTGCATCTAGCCTGCAAAAACTTCAATTAAAATTCCAATCACTACAACCACAACATCTCTTTGGTACCATTCTTTAAGAAAGGAGAGCAAAATGTACAATTTTTAGTTCCAAAAAACAACTTATTCAAAAGATAAAAACGGCAATATTTGAATTGCTTGAAAATCAGAGAGCATTTGTAAAGTATTAATTAGTATAAATACCCTCAAATTTGTGTGTGTTGACTAAGGCTACTTATGACTGAATAATGGAAAAACATAAGTAAAAAAAATATAAGACATTTCATTTACTTTAAAAGTGAGAAAAGATCAGCTAAAAAATAACAAAATTCTATTTTTATTCAAGTTTCATTGTTCTAACCACAGGCAGATTCTTAATTTATAATTATTTTAATTTTTAAAAAAAATTTAAATCCAAAGTATTTAATTTCTTGGAAATATTTACACTAAGCCTTGATATGGAGTTTCCATTTCACAATACTAATATAAATTGTATCCTGTAACTACCTACATAAAAATCCTTCAAAATATTCAAGAAGTTCAGAGCACTTTAATATGCATAGAAAAATATTTCTTTGGATTTTACAAGTATTTTACTAATCTTCACATTATAGTAATTATTAAATGTAACTAAAATTCTTACTTCGTATCATAATCTACATTTTACTTAATAATCTTTTACTTCCTGTTACCTGAAAATATGCATACTATAATTCTCCTGACCAGCTACCCTGAGGAAAATTCTGGACAGTTTTATGGATTAAATACATCAAATTATGTCAAAATGAATTCAAAATGAAAAAAAATATTTCCTGCGGGAAATTAATCTATTTAAGAACACATCATTAGACCAAAAAAGGGTTTAGGAATGTCAAAGATGAATCATTGAAAAAAACATGAACAATCAACTTCCATGGAAACATTTGAAGGAGAATTTAACAAAATTTAGAGCTGTCCTCCATATTCTTGGAATAGTTTACTAGACCTATAATAAATTCAAATTAATGCTTTAAATAAAATTCTTAAACATTTAACCAGATAATATTTCAAATATATAATTGAGGTAGTTCTCATTGTAAGGGGTTCATTAAAGTTTTAATCCTGTAGGAGGACTCTTTGAAAACTATGAGAAAACCATTGATTTTAAGTAATCATTTGTCACTAAATGGTCCAAAAGTAATTTTACTAATTTTTTCCCATTAAATTATGGAAGATTCATTTCTTTTTAAAGAAGATAGATAATGCTGAACATAGGTACAGCAGTATGCATTATTCATTTTACCTAAATAAGGCATTCTTGTATAAATAATAGTATAGTGACATTTCAAGTTTTGTAGGCCAATGAAATGCAATTTTATACATAAATTGGCCTGCACATACTAAGCTATGCAAGTGTGTTGTTATTACCAATTGCTGTCAGTTCTTTAATCCACTTGGAATATAGAGAAAACTACTCTCTTTCTTTCATAAAAAACCTGTCTCATTTGCCCTTAAAATATCATATACCATTAATTACTCACAATGCCTCGGTATTTATGGAACGAAGTATGCTTATTCAGGACACATGCAATGAACATCTTAATACATATATTCAAAAATTAACAATTTGAAGAATGCATATATTAAAAATTCTTAATTCGCACTAACCTCTGGATATGGAGTAGCTGTTGCATAAATATCATTGTAGATGGACGTTTTAATCATATTTTTACTTCAAGAAAGAGCCATTCGACCAAAGCCATTCGACTTTATTTTACCTTCATTTATACTATCAGTAATATATGGAGAACTACAACTTTTTTAACACAAAACTGGGATGAAACAAAATTTGTCTCCATTCCAATTAATAACTTATTTGCTTTTACTTTCTTCTAATGCTTTTTTTTACAACCAAATGTAAAAATAATAGATAAGAGATGAAGTTATCTCAAAAAGAAACCATTGGCAAGGGACTAAGAATACATTTTTTCAAAATGTATGCATTTCATATTTTCGCATTGGAAAGAAATATAAATTCTTGTAATTTAGAAAAGTAATTTTCAAATAAAGAATAAACAATATTTATTTATTTTGGCTTATTAGCCTTCAGGAAAACATCTACCTTACTGATGATGTCAGTGATACAATAATTTTGAGCTATACTGTCAGAACATAAAAGGTTGTCATGAATCCTCCATTTCGCTGTTTTCTCTTTTTTCTTCACAAAGCACACAATTGTTTCAGGGTATCACTTTATTAAAATGAAACAAACTAAAATATAATTCATTATGTTGAAACAAAATAACACTGTTCCTAAAAATATAAATTCTATATGAATAAAAAAAATATACATTGTGACAGTGTCGTTTCACCCTAATGACATTACTTCCTTTAAAAGTCAATATCATTAAAAACAATGATAAAGACCCTATCACAGACAAAAGTGTTTAGTTTTATACTCTACATAAACACTATAACTTCGGACTTACAGGAGAAAAACGTTTCTACAAGAATTGTTACGTATAGCAATGCAGAGCAGTAGTGGGCCATTCTGCAATCTTTTAAAGGAAAATTTCCATCAGTCCCTTCTTAATACATACTAAAACATGCATTAGAAAATTTACAAAGCATTACAAATGCATCAATGATTAAGTGTTAAAATGTTAAATGAAATACATGAAATTTAAAACTTATGTAATCAGCAAACAACAAAATACCATCACAAAGCAACTGCCATAAAATAAACCAACAGTACATAATATTAATGTGCATTAGTAATATATGGATTAAATGCCTTAGAAGTTATCAAATACAACTTAACATTAATTATTATTTCATCAACACAATGTAAAGAATAGAATTTTCTAATTGAACAGGGGGGTTTTCATAAAATGATTGGTGGCATTAACAACTGCAGCAAAAATTTGTGGTACAAAAGAAGAGAATAATTACATTGGGAAAAATTAAATATTTCATTTTAAAGATTTAAATAAAAATTCTCAAAGATATTATAAAACTAAGGATATAAGGAAATATCAACTTTCATTACTTTTCATGTTTTCATTAAATTTCATACTTCCTGACTTGTCCTTTAAAGTGTTTATCAACTAAGAAATTGGTCCACTAAAAGTACCTTTTAAACATCTAAGTTACATTTAAACACTGCACCATCACTTCCATTTTTTTCTGTAATATATTTACATGAAACACCACAATTTGCAGTTAATAAGAAGAGCTGCATTTGATATTTAAATCAGACATTCAATATTTTTAACACCACACTTTTTGAAAGTATGTTTCAATAAAATTATTACTAACATGAGAATAATTTAGACATTTATTACTCATAAATTAACCTTGTTATCTGTAAATAGTAATACTGAAACAGCAACCTTTCAAGATAATGCTCAATTTTCTGTAGCCTTTTAGTTCTTTCAGGAGATCCCTTATGAACCAATCTTCACTAAAACCAAATTCATAATACAAAAAGACCATGTAATTAACTCTATTCACACTGAAATTTTACACAATATTTTTGGAAAGCTCAACTTCACAGTTACATTATACAATATTGACTTATCAAAGCTTATTTAAATATAACATAATAAATGAGTCATAAAAAGTTATGTTGAAATTTTGAGAGCTAGGAACTAAAAACAATCTTCCTGGAAATTTTGATCAAGAAATGATACAAAATGTAAGTAGTACAATACACCTTTATGACGAAGCTTAACAGGCATTAGGAAAGTAACAAGATGGAAGATATCAGCTATTAAATTTTGCTGGAGCTTCTATATTATGAGGTACTCAACAATTAAAATTTGTCAAAACAGTCTGATTTGGGATGCCATCCTTTTAATTTTTTGATTGTTCCAATCAACTTTTTATACAATTTTTAAAGAAAAAAAATTTGAAGTAAATTGTCATTAATTTCGCTTCCTGCAAACATTTACTTTCACATTTAAAACTTCAAGGTAAAAACAGGTAGGCAAATATCACATTTACTCAAAAGCTTAGGGACTAAATCATACACAAATAAAAGCTGACTAATATTCACATACACACAAAATTATTTTGTAATGATATTAAAAACTCAGACGTTTCAAGACATTTTCTTTCCATATATAGATCATATACTAGAAGTTTCCTGTCATTTATTCCATAGTGATCACATTAACTCAGTAATTTAATTTGTATTTGGAGGAAAAAACTTCTACTTCAATGCATATGTACTATATACTGTATTGTAATAAAGTAAAATTAATTTCAATCATGCCAGTTATGGCCTGGACTCGTCTAGAGTCTAATTTCAAACCGATAAAACCACCAGGAATAGAAAACGAAAAAATTATAATTAAAAATAAATAAAAGCTCTAATAATTTATCATTTCAATATTTTCACACAATTTAATATCTATTCAGAGACGAGTGAAAATTCTGTATATTTCACATGGGCACTGCTTTAAATTAACATTAAGAGCATATTTAAAATTAGCTTCAATTTTAAATTAACAGCAGGAAGTATCACCTCAAAAAGATAACACTTAACTACAGCAAGAACACAAGTCTGTCAAACCATTCTATTCACCTATAAACACGCATTTCCTTCCTACAGCATTCATTCAACAGTTCAATGTGCAAGTTGGCACAGTGACATTCTATTGCTAATTTTTCTTTTTATTGTGATTTTAAGAATTAGTCCATTAACCATTCAAAACAATTTTTTAGTGAAGGGAAAATGAACAAAAACATCTAACATGCATCATAGCAAACTACCAGAAAAGAAAGAGGTTTTGAGACATTCAAGCTTCTGAAAGTAAAATGGAAAATAAAGCTCAGATAAAAAGAATCAAAGATTTTACAGTTTCTATCTACTATTTAATCTGAACTAAATTCTTGTTGCAATTGTGAGGTGCTGTTACTATATGTTTTGGATGTTGAAATGTACGGTCAATCTTGGACCATCTTCATCACACTAAAAAATTCAGGAAGTGCAGAAAGCAAATCTTTTTTCTGATTAACTATACTAGAACATCATTTTTTCCCAATATTCATTTTCAAGTTTTATATGAAATTTTCAATTTTTAAGACACATCCAATTTCATTTTTAAAAGAACAATTTTAAAACTAGATCATACCTGTGTATGAACATCAGAAGTGTACTAATATAAAACACTCTCATCAATTATTTAGTTTCAATTGCATTAATTTAAAAAGTTATCAAAATAAAAAAAAAATCCTCTAATTTTTAAATCTGCTCTGATAAGTGTCACATTTATTGGCATCATCTCAACTGAAAGGACAAAAAATCCACACACACAAGAGCATTACTTGTGTTAACATTGTGGCTTGCAAATCAGCCCTTGAAATTATATTTTCATTAAGTTTTCTTAATAAATTCATGTTTTGAAAAGGAAAACCATTAATTTCCATTGAATTGTGCTAAAGCAGCCGAGAGAAAGTAGTTATTGGTTAAAAAGCCATTATACAAATACTAAAATATTTCCTTCTCTAAAATTCATGGCATATGTTACACCTTAGTAAGATTGACGCAAGTAATACAATTCTAATTTTCAAATCAAAACCTGTTTTAGAACACTGAAAATTACTGAACCTCTTTCACATATGCAGAAATAAAAGAAAGTTGAATGAAAGCAATGCCTAATTTCAATTTCAACAATCAGAAAATATCTGATATGGCAAGATATTCAATGTGTTCGAAAACATATTTCCCTCTGCCTAAGTATGGCACTGCAAGAAACAATATACATAACTCGCAAAGTTTCAGATATTCTTTTAAAGATGGGGAAACTGCTAAAGTAAGGTGTGAAATACTCTTCCAGCAATTTGTGACATTTGTACATGAACTCCAATAAAAAATATATTGATTTAGAACAAGTAAAGAACTTGAATTACCTTCCAATTTCCAATCACTTTGATTCACTGATTTCTATCTATATTATCAATAGAACATATTTTGAAGTAACGATTTCAAATATATTTAGTCTATAATATTTAAGAAGTAAGCAAGCAAAATATCATAATAAAATGTACTTTAGGTAATAACTATCTGCAATATTTTATACAGGTGGTGATGGATGGAAGAGGGAGACACAGAAGATTTAGTTTGTTGCCTTGATTTGATTCACCTATGATGCAACATGTCAAGTGAACAACTTTTAGTTGGAAAGAAAACTTTTGCCTGACAACTCAAATAAAGTATTAATTACACGAAAGAAATAGAAAAAAAGTCAAAGGTTCATAAATTTTAAATTTTTTTCCACATTAAAAAAGGCAGTTTTTGCTACAATATTGAAAATTATAAGAGATTTTTTTTTACACTTGCTGAAATATCTATCACAAATTGTCAGTACACCAATTAGTAGTTCCTACTCAGCAAGGTTTTAACATGCACATTTGAAAAGAATAACAAAGTTATTGAACAGTTCAAAAATCTCTATTAGTTCATCCCAATTCATTTTTCACATCTTCACACTACTAATTCTACTAATTTAAGACACAGGTGGGAAGCTACAAAGCAAGTCAGTTAAAGAATTTAGTTTTTTAATTGAATGAAATACCTAATGGATAGTGTAAATTAATCCACAGCATGTGGTGTGGTGTGGTGTTTACCTGAAACAGCAGGGTGTTGTCTCCCGAAGTACAAGAGCAAATATCTTTGACGTGACACTGCATGACATCTTCAACACAACCACTACGTTATACCCTGCATTACACAGCATCTTTAAACAATAACTCATAAATTTGGACATGACAGAGCACATAGAGCTTTCAGTAAAATTTCGTACACGCCTTTACAAACTTCTTTAAGCGCAGTAGTTCAGTCATGACGCATTCTACTAGTTATGTAACAACTTGAACTTCTAATGCAATGTCAGTAAAATTTACAAGGTTTCCTAACTATCATTGTATTTGGATGTTCAGTTAAGTTAGCTGTTAAAACAAAATGTGTGCTGTACAGAAATTTATGCACGTTTTCTAAAAATGTCTAAATAATTCATAAATTACTCTTATGCTACAAATAATTCAACAAGACAGTATTTCCCGATCATTTTTGAACAATCAATTTAAGCAAAGGAAAAGTGAAATGACAATACTGTCAGCAAAGGAAACTAACATAATCAAATGCTTGAGAGACAATTTATTATGGTCATTATTTACACTGAAATTCTGTAAACAATTTGCAGTAAACAGATACAAACCAAAACCCAACAGCTCAATGAAAAAACAGGGAACTGCGAAATCAAAACCTCATTTAGAAAAATTCCAACACCTGTTCCTGTGAATATATGTACGTTTCCATTTACTTTTTTAATACTGCTAAAAAAAATTGTATAGTGCATTTACTCATTAAAAAGAGATAAATTGAAAAATCTTCAATCTGATGACAAGTAAAACTAATACTTTAAAAGCAGTCGCATAAATAATTTGCATAGTGAGGATGACTGTCATAAAGGAGACAGGATACTAATTTTTTGCTTTATCAAGTTTCTAGTTGGACATAAGGACAATCTGGTTACATAATTTTCAACACATCAGAAAAAACATATTCTGAACCTCATCCCTTCATACTCCAGAATTCTGTAATGTAAGTAGAAAGGAATTAGTCTGAGCAACCACCAAAGATCATATCTAGATCTGAAATATCATTCACTAATTTAAAGTAATTGGAATTTCATGACCAACAAATCTCACTGCTAAATACAGTTCTCAACCCGAACAAGTAAACAACTTTAACAAAAGCATTCTTTACGACAGAACAGTATAAGGAAAAAAAAATTCAAGGTGACAATCTTTTTTATAAACAGGGGATGATTCAGTTTTCCCAAGCTGACACCATTTACTTCTTATCTAACAATGAACTATCAATCTGAAGCCACCTTATGCAGAGGGATCATATGTGTTATAATGTGCAATGCAATTCACAAAACTAAATACTGCCAATGAAAACAATGCACTTGTTCTATATACATATAATGTGCTTTTATAACTCTTAATATATATACATAAGCACATACTATCTGATAGATTAACATGTGATTCAGCATTTAATCTGTCCTATTCAACCCAAAAAATCCATGATTTTCAACATAGGGTCTAAAATAAACTTTACAGCTCTATGTACATAAATATCCAATTATCTTCTTTTTACATATACACAAATACCAAATAAGGCTCAATTCAGAACACTGGTACCCTCACAGGTACACAGGACCACCTTCTGATCTTTAGCATTCATAACATATAGAACAGCTCATAAAAATTTTGACATCAGTCATTTCTCTTAAAATTTCAATACTATATGAGAGGCTGACTTTGTACTTTTACATTAAACATGTATAATGTATCTACATGTGTGCATACATATGTGTATGATTATGTACATTTACATTAACGTATATATCCATACTGCAAACATACATATACATCACACATTCTGTCAGCAAAGAGAAAACCTAATGTTTTTAACAATCTGCAACTTCAAAACCCTCATTGTCATTGTCTACTGTTCACCACAAACCCAGAAGTGTACTGTTAAACAGTATCATGCAAGTGCAGATATAGGGATTCATTTAGGGCAGATGAATGCTATTCAGTAGGATGACAGACTGTCAGAAGTAACAGATCACATCAGCAGTGAACATGGAGAAATCCAATTAGTCTTTCCATATTCTTAGATGTGTGGAATCACACAGAGCCAGAATAAGATAACCATCTGAAAGCATCTGAAAAGAAACGCTTTTTCACAAAAAAAAGCAGAGGTCACTATTTTGCCAATTTATGGCTATTGCTTCTCACAACGAGTCCATAGCGTTAATACAAAGTAGGACCTCAACACACAGACAAATAAATCAATACATCCTTTGCGACTTCTTCATGGCCACTGCTTTACTATGCCTCATTAACATGCTGTAGTCTCTTGCGCAGTCATTTTCTAACCTTAGAATGGTTCAATCTCCCCCCAAAACTCAAAATTATTCCATTCAACTGTGACTGACATCAAGCAGGGCATTGCCCTTAGTAATGTTACCATCAGCACCATGAACGGTGTTGAAGGAAAGAGCACCATACAGACCAGTGCCAGACATAGATGGCAACTCGCGCACCTTTGACTGGATGCCAGTCCCACTGGCACCCCAGCCATCCCAGGCATCAGGATTTCCCAAAGAACTAGGAGAAGAGTTTTCGTTGCTGTCGTATTTTCTTTTTTCAAGGAGTGTTAGTTCGCTGTTTTCTGCTGCCAAAGAAGCTTGTGGTACAACCAAATGAAGTGGCAAGCTTGCCACAACACCTCCAGAAGGCTCCAAACTCACCGCAGATTCCCCAGTCCTTTTAGATAGTGCAAACTTGAAGAACTCGTACATCGACCAGCAAATAGCTGTTGAGGGCATCTGGTACAAAACACGAGCTTGGAGGCCTCGGAAATATCCTTTCATGCCACCAAGCTCGTACACCGTCCGTATAGCATGAATTAAACCAGTGCCTTTCGTTTCTTGTGGTTGTGTATTTAGCAATGTCTTGCAGACATCCAGAGGGGTGGTAATTGCAGCCGCAAAAGCCCCAGCTATGGCTCCTGACACCATATGGGCTTTAGGGTTATAATGTCTCTCTGGATTGGTTATTCCTTGCATCCACTCATAGGTCATGAAGTGGACACTTTGAAATGGAACATTCATTGTTAACTGAGTAGTATATGAACGATAAAATGCACTTGGTCCTTCTGTTTGTAACACTTTCAATACACAGTCTAGACATGACTTGTAAGGCGAGTTATACATCTGCAACCGTTGTTTCACCACTGTAGGTCAAATGGAGAACAATGATGATTATCAAATAAAAAGGAAAGAAACTTCCTACAATACAGAATTTGGTGAATGAATTACAAAAAACAACAAAAAAAGTATTCGAAACAATTTTGGATTTTCAAAATATTTGTTTGCGTCCTTGCCTAGCAAGCAAGTTAAAAAATTAAGTAATAAGTGATCTGCCTCTTGCCGATTACAGAACTGGTAATGCTTATGAAATATTTTTGAAAACTGCCCAAGAGAGCAACCTGTCCAAATATATTCCTTAAACAATGCACAATCAATAAAATAAAAATTATAAAAAACTTCAGACAATTTACTGTAACTAATATTTATGTCTTTCATAACTTAATAACTGCTAGTACATAATATATAAAGCAATTTTTTTAACAATACACCATAGCAAATTAACAAATCTCCTACCTTCTGCAGGATTCATAATTCCATCATGCAATAACGTAGCAACACAACCAGCAGCACCTGGAAATATTTAATACGTTAATAAAAATAGGTTATCTCTGACCTACCTACCCACCTAACACTAAACCAGGAATAACAGTTTAAACTTTCTTCCTATTATTAAATATCCCACTGACACAAGAGTTTTCCAACATCTCTAAACACCACTTCACAACAGAAACTGTTTTCATGTGAATCTTAAGTAATGCACTTGAATTATAACAGCATAGAGAGCATGATCATTAGTAGTTAATTCAATGGCTATCAATAACTCAATTGGTCCTACTTTTCTCCTACAGACCCTAGTCATGGTTATACACACAATAAGAGTTATACGTATTTAATGTGATCAGTTGTGCACAAAGGAATTTAAAAAATAATTTTAATTTTTTGTGATTATTATGGTTCTAAACTTGGCATAAGGTACAGAGCAAGTATCATAAAAAAAGTTCATGCTTTTATATGAAATACTTCAGAAGATGTTAGTTATTAAATTCACAAATGAAAAACTTTTTTGAGAAAAACACAAAAGAAAGTACTAATTACTATCTTATTAATGTTCTAGAAATTGGAAAATTATGTAAAATATTGAACAATTACACAAACAGTAAACAAAACAAAACAAACACACAGGAATCTTAAAAAAAGTGACAAAAATTGGAATGCAATTTTTACACCCCCAGACACTAGTTAGCTCTGTTATAAAATTTCTTTTTTAATTTTGGGATTCCCCTTCCTGCGCATGTCACATATAGGGTCAAAAAATGAAGATTTATTTTTCTAATTTCATTACAGAGAAAATATTTTCACCATACAATAAATGACATGTAATTTTACTCAACACAATGTGTAACACACGCCACAAGACATTACCTAGCATGAACTGTTTAATGATTTGCTTAATCACCATTGTTATGCCATTAAATATTTTTAATCAAATAAACAATAATTAATCCTATTTTTATTAGGATTCGCATATGACACTTAATAACTTGAGGATTCTTCTTGTACTAGGTGTCACCTAGTTGGTAACACTTAAGACTTTTGAACATATAGATCTACATGCTGTATCATTCACATGAATTTATCAAATACAAAACTTGCCGCAAATTCGTTGCACAGACAGAACCTGATACACAACAATAATTTCATCTTCGTTAAGTGCTTTATCATGCTGACATACATTGATAAGCCTCTTAGAGCACAGTGGAACTAGGTAACTCACCATATCCAACATGATTATTCAATGATGTATGTGTGAGAATGTCTTTCACGTATTCATAACAAGAAAAGTACAGAGCGTGGGCAGGTCCTGCTCCCAACACCACTGCACTCATTCCACGAACTGGCCGGAGGACACCTTCATATTTGACCATGCGGAACAATGCTTCTCCAACGCCACGATAAACTGCATTTGGCGAGGGTTGCAAATTTTGCATCCGCGTCTAGAAATTTCAACAAATAAATTACATTGTTACTCATAATGTTTAGACGATTATATCATGGCAGAAGGAACGCGTGGCTTCCGCGCAAATCGACTCCCACTTTCCCCGCCTTATGAGCGACAGATCCGCTATTTTCCTTTACCGACATTAATTCTAAACCGAAGTACATGATTAAAAATACTCAGTGACACTCTCCCGTACCTTTACGGAATCTAGCGGGTACATTACGCAATGTTCCATTACACCAGCTACGGCTCCTGCCGTCATATGGGTAAGAACATTTTTAGTAGGAAGTGTCTCATAGTCATCAAAGTCCATAATAGTCTGTTTTACGAAAGGTGACACTTCCACAAAAAGATCTGTGGTGTTTCTTTTCTTGTTGATTACCAATTAACCACTGTCACACACTCTCACACAAATAATTCGGCCCAAATCTAGGTCGACACTCGCTGGCGCCGTCACACTCGTGAATTCGTTCGCCGACGACTCGCCCACCACCTTTCTACGCAACGCGAGATCTCACTTGCTTGTGCATGCTCGTGGACACAGCATAGTGACGAAGAGTGGGAGGTAGCGAATGAACACGGCTTCTTTGATCACTCCGTATTTCCATTCATTTGAGAGTTGATTCAGGAATAGCGCAGTATTAAGCTAGCACGTGCAGCGCGAGTTTTGAGACGATTTGTGATATCAAAATGTTCAGTCCTGCAAATATCAAATCTTCAAATTGCAGACAAGATTAGTGCGACTGGTTTTAAATTAAATTGAATGTCTTTTAAATCTACTCATCAATGTGAAAGAATTCCTATGGCCTTCCTGTCTCAAAAGCTTTCAATAAAATGTTTTTAAAATTATTAGTAGACCTCTGTTGTTGAAATTTCATTAGTCACATCACATCCCTTTGTAATAACAAGACATTATCTTCAAGCCAGCAAAGATATGGACAATCTATGTATATTGTAACTTGAAAAATCACTACTTCAAATACTCTTACATCTCTTCGGAATATTCTAGATTCAATTGGTAAAATATTGTGATATGGTACTTCATAAATATTTTTGTAACCTGAAAAGAAACATTTGTTACATTTCTCAAATTATGCAGCCACATGTTTCATTTTTACATAATTGAAAATAATGAGAAAGTCAAAGTCTTCCATGTCTCTTTAACATTACTTACATTGGTTTTGGAATCTTCTTTTAGAGTGAGCAAGATATATGCTACAAATATTAGATGCAGAAGTATTTAAAAATTTAATTAGTCATTTCTTTTATGCAAAATAATGTTTGTCTACTTCATGATTTAGCAACAAATGTTTAAGAAACAATAGAAGTGATAGGAAAGAAATTCAAAGTACTTACTTACTTTATTCTCCATGTTGCAGTTATTTCCTGCTTCTCATACTTCATTTCTTGACATTGCAATAAAGTGCAGTATCTTAGTACCAAGCAACATTGTTAAAAAAAATAAGGGCTTTGGTTCCAAAATTCAAAGTCAGAAAGTTTCAAATGTTCTCTTACTGTTGTAGGTTAGGGTATAAAATAATATTTCAGCAAGTAATGAACTTACAGAAGTAAAAATTTTCATCATATTTTCTAATAATTGTTAAATATTCTATATTCATAAAAAAGCAGTTATTTCCAAGGTTTGGTGAACAGTAAATGGAAAAACCATACCAATAGCCAACTGGATGTTTAAAGATTATTGGAAAATATTGACTAATTCATTACAAACATGCATGTGCAACCATAACATATGAAATAAATTGTCATAGCAGAATTTCTTCTTTTCCACCCTTATTCAATTTCCACATTTTTTTATGCCACCACTGAAGATTAATAATTTAATTTTTGTTATTACAGATTTGGAGATTGATCAGATGGTGGAAACAGTGAGAGGGGGATAATGGTGATCTCCTTTTTCCTCCAAGAAGATCAAAACGTTCAATAACAATAAATATTAAAAATAAAATATAAATTTAAAAAACTTGTCATCAATTATTAAGAAATTCAATGAAACAGGTAAAAGAACTGAAATAAATTATTGACACAAACTGTGTATTTAATTATTTATTTAGACGGTGAACTGTGAACTTATTTAACTGTTATAAAATCCTTGGATAATTTGCATGAAGAATTTTTAAAAATTAATTGTTCACGTAAACTAATTTTTACAATTCCACGATTAATTTGATAATGAAGACCAAACAAAATTTTGTAAAACTGCAAATGTACAACTCAACGTGGAACAAAAATTTTAAAATATATCCATTTGCTACACAAATTTTCACAACAAATAACTCATTTCTACATACAAATTGGTGAATAAATTAGTAGTCTTTAAATTAAAATACAAACTCTTGAGATAAGACATTTCATTATAAATGTTTTTTTATCAAAAAATGTCTAATATTTATTTCCTAGAGGCCATGTCTCTTAAAAAAGCAGAAAGTTTATAAATAGATAATTGTATAAAAACATTATTTAATGGGAGCTTATAAAACAAAGCAGATTAGAGAGTAATTTTCATTTTAAAAATGAAATGTTGAAAAGTTTCAAAGGTACTACAATACAGCAATTTTAAAATGCAGCCTCATCATTTTAACATTGTAATAAATATTACACAGTTTGAAAATTGGACACCATGTCATGACTTATGACTGATTGGTACAAATGCTATTGAATTCTTAATACAAATAAGTAAGAATGCTTTATCTTTATATTTGTTATAAGTTACAAAAGATATGATGTCCTCTGTCACCATGATTTATGTACAAATTTAAAATCTGGGAAACAAAATTTGTCTGCAAGTTGGTGACAGCGAGCATATCAGGAGATTTTTGCAGTTAAAAAAATTCCTCATTACATACATCATTTACACACAAGCATACACAACTACACAACTTTCTAATTCAGAATATAATTTTTACATTAAAATTTTGCTGTTACACCACATATTTTACATGTATGAGGAAGAAATACATTACTAAAATTAATAAATGTAGCAATAATAGTTCTGTTTCTCTTTAAGAGCTTTTTGCAAAAATATTTCTAAACTTAAAGAGCACAACAATGTACTGCCCCTGAATCAACATTAGGATTGAACTGTACACAAATATTAAACATGTATGTATTTCACACTGATGTTAAAAATACATTCTCACATTAAGTCAGTTCTACATACACTCAAATAGAAGAAAGAATTGAAAACAAAATCAACAATCAAATCAAATCAAAATTATTCAATTCCTTCAGATTTTCAATAAATCTGAATTTGATTTGACAAGATTTCCACACAATAATACTAAACCTTTGTATGATCCAATTCAGGGTGAAGTCAAGAGTTTTGAATTTGGGATATTTCAAATAATTAATTTTCAGCAAGTATTACATAAACAAGAAATAGTTAATTTAAACTACTAAATTACATATTATCATCACATAGCAAAGGGCATCAATTTCACACTGTACAATAAAAAAAAGTGAAAGTTTGGCAGTACAATCTACAACGACAGTTTGGATTGTCATACAATATGATACAAGTAAATATTCGCCTTTTATCACTCATAATACCTTGAAAATCATTTTAAAATATTTACATGAAAAATAAATTAATGATCATGTAATTTAGGACAACACACTTTCATGATTAGATATTTGAAAAACTAGTTTATCACACCTCTGTAAACTACAGAAATTAAACTAAAACTTAGTCACTCCTCATTTCTTTTGATATTCATAAAAGAGCACAACTGTCTCTGTGATGTGCATATGACAAGGCACTTGGCACAAATGATATTATAGTGAGTAAGTAGTTTGTTTTTTCTTCAAAGTAATGAATAGGTTTTATCTCCCTGAACTGAAAAATTGTTTGATGAAACTGTCATAATTCACACGAGTTATGACACCTTGGATTTATTTCTGATGTATTAAATTGTTTGACGAGTTCTCAGACATAATAAAATCAATATGAACTTCATCACAATACTTGTGTGAATAATTAGCACCTCTAGTTTCACAAACAAATGCTAAAATTATTTGCTGCATTGCTGCGGTTTGCTTCAATGATTCACACACTTTGCTGATCTTGAAGGGGCATCCTCACATAATTTGTTGAATATCACTGTTGCATCTTGTTCACTTGCCAGCATAAGTAGGATTTTTGAAGGTTGATGTAGCTTGTTTGTATATGGGATTTTCACCCTGTAAGAAATAAAACAGTTTGAAATGTTGAGGTCAAATTATTAAATGCACTTTTAAAAATAACAGTAGGTTTAAAGTAAAGTCAGCAGTCACTCTTTTAAAAAGATTGAAGTAAATGTAGAATCATTATCCACCCTGCAAAGAAAGCTATTTTTTTTAAACAAAAAATTCAAAAAGGAATATTTGATACATGCACATTTATTAAAACAACTTCTATCTCTTACTCTTTCAAAGCAAAATTCTCACTTTTAAAAATTTTAATATTGTTTGTAAAACACAAAAAATACAAACAAGAGTTTATTTTCACATAATAGACCACTTTTATACAGCATTTTCGGTATATCAGTAATTTCATACATCCTTTTACACAATAATTTCTTTCATCTCTGTCCCTTTTGGTGTGCATCTGCATGTATGTGGTGTGCACGTTTGCATGTATGTGTATGTTTTGAAATAATGTACACTATTTTAGACTTCAAACTTTAAAATAATTCTCATATATGCATTTTTTGTAGCTGTGATTATAAAACAATTTACAACATTAAACTGCGCGGTTGCGGCCCTTGCTCCCTTCACTCAGGGTCTCCTGCTCCCCACGCGCCCACTTCCCGCTTGGCTCAGAAGTTGCACCACGCTTGCTTCACTCAATGAAGCAACATATGAGTGGCACACATGCATTTACACACACACACACACACACACACACACACACACACACACACACACATGTACCCATTCACCCCTGCACATAGACCCACTTGCATATAATTGCTTTTAAAAAACTTTTTATGCAAACACAAGAAGAAATTACTTACAGTGTCCCATTTTGCTAACATTCGTTCCTTTTCAAATTTTGCAAATTCTCTTCGATCATGAATTGTTGTAAGAAGTTTCCATAACAATAAAAGAATCAGACCAATGAGCACTATGGCACCAACCACAAGAAAGATGATACCTGTAACATAAATTTTAATTGATTGGCCACACGTCAAAATATTATTTAGATCATACATTATGTTTTTTGTAACAGTTTTGATAAAAGCGTCAAGATTTTTAATTCCGAGCTATTCATTTTTAAAAATCCATGTACAAGGTTACAAAGTCACTGAATTCTCTACAAAACAATCCGTCAATAATTTTATCAAATTGTCTTTTTATTAAGAGTGATAAACAGGGACAAAATATTTAGGAAAAGTTTCTCAAGATATTTGTGAAAATGTTGCAATTTTACCCATAGGCCCACATTCCATTCCCTTGCTTGGAATTTAAAAACCTTGTGTACAATAAATCTTACCAAGGAAATGCACAACTGGAGGACACTCCAACTTTTCTTGAGCTCTAATAACAACGTCAGTACCATTATACAGGTACACAAACTTGTAACGGCATCCTTCATCATCAAAATAGATGCACATTACTTCTCCCTCCTCTTCATTGGCTGAAACCAAATTATATAAATGATTTCATATGAACTATTAATTCAGAATAGAGTGGGCTGTTATATTATCAAAAGAATGTATTACTTTAAAGCATGTTTTACCTTCAACGTAGTCAACAGGAAGTGGAACAAAAGCGGTACAATTGGCAGCACATTCTTCTTCATTGAATTCACCCTTCTGATACATCTGGCACTGCACACAAGCTTGATATTCTGAGCAGTGAGTAGCTGTTAGCTGCAATATTTAATTTCCATACTTGTAATTGAGTTAACCAAAACACATTACATATATCCATCATTATACAAATGTTTAATCACGTGACTCTTCAAAACAGAATTTGTGAGAATTCAAAAATAACATATTTGTCCTTGAATTCAATCTGGTGAAAGAAGTGTAATAAATAATCTCAAAATGTTTTGAAATAAGTTTGTACTTACTGGAACACGTTCACAGTATTCTCCACCGTACCGTTCATCACCATCATCGTTAGCCAAATCACATAAACATTTGCCACATTTACACACACCACGACCACTGCATATGTCAGTAGACTTGGGTCCAATGCAAGTAGTGTTTACTGTACTGCATTCACATGCATCGCCACTCCATCCTGGTTCACAGAGGCATTTTCCACAATCACAAACACCATGACTTGAACCTGAACAAATCTCCCCACCACCATAGTTGCAAGAGAAATTATCACATTCACAGAAGCGACCCCATACTTTCTGTGGAAAAACAGGAAAATAATTTTATTTTCTTACATCCACAAACATTTCATAAGATAATTGTTGTTGAATTTCAAGTTACCTCTTCAGGATTTGTTTTTGCATCACAATGGCATTGACCACAAATACAACTACCCCGACCTGAACAGTCCACTAAAGATGTGTTATCTTTGCGACATAGATTAACTCCATCAAGTTCTTTTCCTTCACCATGACTGTCACATTCACATCTTGGACCAAAGTGCTGCTCATCACATTGGCATACACCACATACCAAGTCACCTGCCTTATTGCAGTATTCTGATTTCTTTTCAAATTCCTGAGTAAACAACAGACAATTTGTACAATATGAAAATTATAGACGCAAATATAAAACAATCAGGTCTCTTAACATATATGTTTAGATATATTCTATTTATTTGGTATATTCTATAGAGGATGGTCATAAATAAATACAATATTATGAATTGAGAATGAAAAATTACAAATAAAAAAAATTAATGCAGTTTCAATTCTGTTTTCTGTTTCTATCATTAATAGAGAATATTTTCTTTTCAATGAAGATAAACTGTAAACACTCACTGAATGGTTCTCACGCTCACATTGACAATCACACAGCAGTTCCAAGTCAACAATGAGTGATTCATCAATTCCTACAGGATAAATCTGAATTGTCTGTTTCCAGTCAGCACGATTGCGAGGACACTGTTTCGCTAGAAATTCTACCTCAAAATTCACTTTAGAGCCCACTTTCAGGCCTTCACATGTGTGATTTTCTCTCATAATATTATCGCCCTTGCCCTCAATGCCACTTGTGAAGTAACGCAGTCGAACTATTGAACTTGTTGCGTTATCACGCATTTCAACAGAAGATGTAATTTTCTGTAACAAAAATAATAAAAGAGGATTACATTTAATATGAGGAAAAGACCTTCATTACTTCAAGATGTAACTACTTGTGCTCCATCATAACAGACTTTCCCATGGAATCTTGTAACAATTACTGTCAATAAAAAAATAACCTTTCAACAGTTATCCCAAAACCTGTATGTGTACTAGTTCTTCATTCACTTTATTTAAAAATCTCTTCAAGAAAATGCTTGAATAACTGTACGCAAATGTCCATTTTCAAAATGTTCTTACATCAACTTTTTAAGAATATTATACTTTTTGATTCGTATTTATCTTTATTCTACATATAAATTTATATAATTTTCATTATTCCTTAATATCTATGATATGCTTGTTTTTCTGATTTTTACTTGTAACTTGACAAGTATTAATATTAAATCCAAATCCTCAGAAAAGTCGCATTGAAATACTTTTTTTTCAAAATGGAAAATTTCTAATAAAATAGTAGCTTACAAGTTTGAATTTAATAGTTTAGGTTCCACAAATCAATAATCACATTATAATTTTAGTGTCTGTTAAAATTGTCAGGCTGGAATCTGCTAAGATCCATGCAAGGTACATATTTTTTATGCATACCAATATGAATAAATGAACAAGATAAATGCTTAGATACCTCGTACTGTTCACGGACGAGGTCAACAACATTGGAAGAATCATTGGACAGTTTTCCTGCAGAAGATCCTTCCACATGATCCTTAAGTCGTTCATAAATGCCTATTTGTTCTCCCGTGACAGCAAAAATCACATTTATTGAATTCTCTTTCACCTTCAGATTTATCTGTGAGATAGAAGGATAGTCTTGAAGTGTGGAATGGGTGTACAGACCTCTCCCATCCAAATGGCATTCACCATCATTCGGCTTTACAATTCCACCAAGCTGAAACAGAGAAGTACTAAGTTTTATATTGAGCAATTTAGTTTAGCATTCAGTTTTTAGTTATTACTAATTTCATTGAAAAATTGCACAAAATTTACTTCTTCATAAAGTTGGTAAGTAATGAAATAAATACAAATCAATAAAAAACTACACATTTCACCACTTGGTCCTAGTTGGAAGTTTAACAATTACATAAGAATGAGTTTCCTGTTTTGCAACTGTAAACTACTGTGGCAACCCGATGCCTTTTAAGCATAATGTAATTGTTATAAATTAGGCTTCAACTGTTCAAATAATTGACTGATCTAGCCGGAAACTCTGGTCTCTTATAGAGCAAGTGGGCGTACAAATGAAGCTTCCAGTTTGATTCCAGGCTGGAGAATTCTTTAAACAGTCAAAACATAACTTACAAAAAATTACGTTAAATATGTATAAGTAAAATATTAAAGGGATTTGCCAAAGAAAGTACCTTGCCATCACCAGCATAATGGAATCCAGCATCAGTAGAGAAAACAAGAAGACGCCGTGCTTGGTTACGCCAGCCAATCTCATCCCTACACACAATCGCTTGCATAATGGCATCAAAGCCACCCTCCGGAGCATCCAAGTTGCCTGACACAGCAGCATTTTTCACCTTGCCCTAAACATTGAAAATATTTCATATATACTTTAGGTTACCTTTCATTTAATTTCAATATTTAAAACTCTTTGTTCTTGACTTGCATTTCACAAACTGAAATTGTAGTAGAACTGGCCTCGAATTTTTCCCTTCATTATGAATGAAATTAGTTAAGAATTTATTTCATTATCATCATCATCTTTACATTATCCATTATTATCATTACAAACATTTAATATGGAAAGCTTCAAAATTCTACTCTACTACAACAAAACTGTCACCTGATTTGTTTGACATTTCAATGAATGACAATTGTAGAAATGGTATTTTCACAAGAAAAGCCACACCCAGAATGGTTTTACACAATCCTCCCTATAGTCAATGAAATCAGTTTAATTGGGCAGAGTCACAAGAAAATCCTATTTTAAACTTTTACAAGTGTGTCAATGTGCTACTGAAACAATGATACATCAGAAGTGTTAGTAAAATCAAATTGGTTAGAATGTGTGAGAAAATTTTCAACATTAGAGATGAATTTAGCATATTTCAATGCATTAAAATCTCACTTTTATATGAAGGCGAGATAAAAATGTTTGAAAAATATTTGTTGCACTGTTATTAGCACTAGATCACCAATGTTCAATATAATGTATCCTATAGGTTTTAGTTAACTTCTCTAATGGCTTAAAAATGCAACATTTTCAACAACAAAAATGTACTTATAAAAATAATGTACCAACAAAATACTGAAAAGTAAATTTAAATATACCACGACCTCACTATCTATCGCCATTTAGGATTAAGAAATAAAAAGTTTACATCATATCTAGTGGAAAATTATTAAATACCCATTAAAGTGAAAAATATAAGCATTTAATGAAATAAATGTTTTATAGTACTTAGAAATAGTGATATAGTTTGATTAGTTTCTTCAAGCTCATTGGATAACTGCTTCTGCTTAAGATCGTGAAGTGAAATGCCCTTGAAAATATGAAAAGTATAACACAGGTATGCCATTAAACTGAATCTTCATTCTAGAGTAAATATTGGCAAAAACGATACTATGTTCTTATTACAACATTAATAAAATGATCAAAGATGTGTGAAAAAAAACTTAAAAATACATTTCCACTAAATACTTTACCTTCAAATTATCATGCACACAAACCGACGACGGAAATCGAACAAGAGGACGACTACGACGACGACGAGCACAGAGAGACGACTACAGACGACGACAGAGGACGAACTACGACGACGACAGAGAAGGACGACTACGACGACGACAGAGAGGACGACTAGGACGACAACAGAGAGGACGACTACGACGACGGACAAGAGGGCGACTACGACGACGACAGAGGGAGACTACGACGGAACGACGAGAGGCGACTACGACGACGACAAGGGGACGACACGAGACGACGCACGACAGAGAGGACTACGACGACGACAGACGGAGGAACGACTAAGGACGACTACGACGACGACAAGAGGAGACTACGACGAAGAAGAGAGGACGACTCGACGACAGCAGAGAAGACGACTACGACGACGACCGAGAGGACGACACGACGACGAAGAGAGGGGAACTACGGACGACGACAGAGAGGACGACGACTAGACGACGACAGGAGAGGACGGACTTACGGGGACGACGGACAGAGAGGGACGACTACGACGACGACAGAGAGGAGCCGACTACGACGACGACAGAGACCGGACGAGACTACGAGGACACTACGAAGACGCCTA